TATAGAAAAAAAACTATATATTTATATATATATAGAATTTATATTAATTTAGCTTTAATCCTAACTATATACAGTCATACCATGACGCTCATATTCAGTGATAAAGTATTGATCTTCATTCTTCTGTAAAAATCTTTTTTGTCACAATAATCGTTAGAATCACGTAATTATAAACAATATGGGCAAATTTTAGTTTCGGATTACTTTAAGAAATCAGCCAAATGCTCTTCAAGAGTCTCGGTAGTTGTTTGATCCATATGTGTGTGAACAAGCAAACGGGGTAATTCGACTATATTTATTGATAGCAATTAACCAATGAATACATATAATCATTATAACCAACGGATTTTTATTACCAAAGAGCCTCAATAAATGTTCAGCTCCATAAATTTCTGCGTTTTCTTTCTCTAGAAATTGCTTACGAACATCAACATATTGTTGTCTTTCGTAGCCATATAAAAGAATGTTCCCCAAAGTCTTCTCGAAATAAACTTGAATTCCATGAGCAACCTCCGTATAGATGTCGCTCCTGTCCAGTTAGGCGGCAAATATTATAACCACGTCTTATCATAGGAATAAAATAAAATAAATAGAAATTTCTTCTTACTTTTCACTTTTTATTGAGGATGAACGTTTGTACTCCAAATATTGCTTTAGAATTTCCGAGACAGTTGGTGACCGAGGTAATTTTAATAACTATAAAAATAAATTAAAATTATTATTTTATCTGATATACTTAGGGTCATTTTAATTATACTCACTGCATGATTTCTTGTGATGTTTTCCCAATCATCTATCAATCTGCATTTTAGTGATTCGGGCAGAGAGATTTTAATTTCAAGACGATTCATAAATTCTTCTTCCTTAAAAAGACCATAGAAAAAAAGCATTAGTATTTCCGGGAATAATTCTCACAAGTAAAATTATTGACAGTTCAGCATACTTCATCTTCATCTTCGTCTTCGTCTATCGATTTACGTTTTTTGGTGCGTGGCTGGCTTTGATTTTCTTGAACATCACTATCTGGCTCTAAATGTTCTTCTTTAATGTCTAACATTTCTTCATCCTCTTGCTTAATGGAGCTTGCATCTGAATTAGGACTCTCGGGCTGCTCGGGAGAAGAACTTCTCTGCTGGCCTCTATTAGCAATCTTTTGACGAGTTTGCGCAAAATTATTTGTACGAGCTTGCATTAATCGCTTTGATTGAGTTACATTCTTTTAGTTTCTTATATAGAATTAATTGTTTCTAATAATTATTTGTAGGGAACTCACTAAAGGTTCCTGGGAAGGGGTGCTCTGTCGTTCTTTGTTTGCAGATTTCTTTTTCTTATTAGTATATGTGTCTTTTAGTTGCTTTTGTCTAGCCAAGTTAGCATCATTGTATTTTACAACTCTCTCTTCTGGAACCCACTCATCCCACCTATCAAATTGGTATTTAATAATAGGAGCTCGATACTGATTGCATCCAATAATCATTTTTGAATCGCTTACATACGTTTTTTTCCACCCTTTGTAATGAACAAAATAATGTGGACCGATTTCCCCAGATTCTGAATCATCGGGACCCCAATTTTCGGCCTTTAGGATCTAGTAAAGTAAATTAACTTTTCAGTTCTTTTGCTACTTATTACTGAAGAATGGCACTTAATCGTACAACTCACGCGATCGATTCTGTGATTTGTTACCTTGGCCTCGTAGAGTAAAGGACCGTGAAAGCACAAGATCAGCTCGTCTTGTGAAAAATTGAGTTTTGTCTCTGCGTTTTCAGTTTTAGCCATCTGTGCTAAACTTGCTTCTACTGCGGCTGTTCAAATAAGATTGCGTATAAGTGAGAACAAAGCTTTTACAAGTTTACAAGATTCCCAAAGTAAAAATGTCTAGCAAATAAACTGACAAGCGGAAAGCTACGGCACAACATTTCACGTGACTTATAGACACAACATCGGCCTGAGTTAGGGTTAAAGTTAACGTTAGGGTAAGAGTATTTTAGTAATGCCGGTCATTGTTGTGCCCATAAGCACATAAGCACGTGAAATGTTGTGCCCGTAGCAATCTCCAACTGACAAATCAGAGTTCTGCGGGTTTCGTTCTGCTAATAATGAAAGTCTGAAAAATAATGAATATGTAAATGGAAAAGAATGTTTGGCTCGAGGTTACTAAATTTTGGGATCCTAACCATATTAAGAATACGGTGGATCTAAAACATGAATCTTTGCTAAAGTGACACTTTGAAAATTTATTTTTTATTAGTTTTGTTTATTGCTACGTATACGTAGGATCTTTAGAACCCTATTAGCAATAAGATTAAATATATTCAGACCTCCTAATGCAAACACTTCTAAATGCAACTTTTAATTCTGGTTCAAATATATACTAGACTTCTATAAATGCAGTTTTTTTTATTGTTCTCTAAATTTCATAAATGCAATTTTTTTTATTGTTCTCTAAATGCAAGCATGGTTTGACTGTATATAGTTAGGATTAAAGCTAAATTAATATAAATTCTATATATATATAAATATATAGTTTTTTTTCTATATATATACTTATTTTTATCTTTATTTTTTTTTAAAGATTTAAAAAATTAAACATGTAGAAAATTGTGAATTTTAAATTTTATTTTATTTTATTTATTTTTTTCTAGATGTTAAGTTCCTGAAATCATTTTTCCGAAAGGACAAAAGGACATCATTTTGGCAAAGTTATCTGGCATTAGTTTAATACTAGCCGATTTAGTCGGTTTTATGTCTTGGGAAAATTGCTTTCGGAAAATCGTACAGTAACCTTTTTTTGTCGTGATGACAAAAAAGCATAATTCGGGCCAATATGCCAAATAATTTACATAGTTCTGGTAGAATTTCAGCGTCAGCATTAGACATAATGACTCTTTTCACTACTCGCAAATTACAAATCTACTTTGAATCACATGGGCTAGGTGCTGAGAAAAGGGACCAAATTGACAAAAAAAAAGATCTTCGGAAAATCAATTTTTATGTTATAAGTCTTATAATAAATTATAAGAAAATGCAAACTTTAAAGAGCTATACCACAAAATTTTTTTAATACAATTACTTTTGTGTCTTAAGTAAAAAATAATTCTAATCTTATTTTAAATTGATTTATGTAAAAAAATATCCTTTGAA